AAAAACAACCCTCACGATTTGTGGGGCTTGACTCACAATTTTTAAATGCTTGAGGTTGATAATGATATACATAGTAGACAGTCTTATCCTGCATGTAAGACCATTTGCAGAAACAATGACCTGTACACGTGGTCTGATCGCGTTACTTAACGTTTGTACGGCACTTGTGCTCCAACATTAAGCAGTGACCATTTCTGTCTGTTCTCTTACCCATACGGCGTAGCTCCAGCAGAGGGAGCGCCTTGCATCATTGCAAACCCTAAAATCGCTTTAAAGGCGCAGCCTCCGTTCCAAGGGCAATGAGGATTTCTGGGGGCGGGGGGGGGGGATGAACATATCGAAAAGCAGCTCTTAAGAGTCGTGGGGAGACTTCCTCCTTCCCTTTCTAACACGGGTATAAATTAAGGGCTCATCTGACGGGTCTTATTCAGCTTGAGCGAGAGGGACGGGTATTTTGAAACCATCTCTCAATGTAGGAGGGTTTTGTCGTGGGTTTCAGTGAGCCATGTTTTTGTTGTATTTTCCCCTCCGTTATTTAAACAGAGCTTGCACTGGGGAAGTCCATTATAGAAAGGGGAGCCAAAGTATAGGAGGCAAGGGGGGTAATATATTTAGAGGTTTCCAATATAGTTGCAGCAGAATCTTCCTCTCGAAGCCCTGCATGGGCTGAAGAGGTTTACACCTAAGGGGAGATCAGTGCAGCTGTAACCTACAGGCTGATCGCTGCACCAAGATGCACAATAAAATCCATTGATAATGGGGAGCTGGAGGCGTGGAACAGCTTCTCTCTTCCTCCCCACGTGCTGCGTCTCCATGGCAACCGCCGACACAACGTTCCACTGGGAGATTGTAGCAATTTTCACTTTGAACCAATGAAAGCCCAGAGGGATGATTCAGCAGCCAATGAGAAGAGAGATGGGGGGGTAGGCGGTGGAAGGTGCAAAGATCTACGCGTGAGCCTGGCGGTACCTGGTCGAGCCTGGCCCGGAGCCCAGGAGGCTGGTTCGGTCGGGTCCAGTCCGTGAGATATCAGCTGCCGGTGAGTCGGACTATCCCGAGACTGACCCAACGCCTGAAGTTCGGTCCTGTGGGAGAGAGATGCGCTGCACGGTCCAAGTTGAGGTGCCGGAACAAATCGGCCCGGCCCAGAAGTTATTGAACCTTTGAAGGGCTTCCCCAAGGACGGACTCCCGGTTTCGAGCCGAACCGGGCCGTATAACATTATTTGGAGAAAGGAGATGAGGCCCAGTTTAAACCCTGCTGACAGCAAATAACTTTCTCAAGGGAAAGGGGAGACCAGAACCCAGCAGACCTCGGCCAGTGCATCCAGGGAAGGAGAGATCAGAACCAGTGCACCAAGAAGAGGAGACTCCAGAAGCCATTAGAAACAGGTCAAAATACAGAAGGAAAAAGCAACTGGAATCCACCAGAGACTGGTCAAGCTACCAAGGGAAGAAGGCACCAGAACTCAGCCGAACCACGTTCAGGGGTCTAGGAAAGGAGAGAGCAGAACCCAGTCACCTTATCAAGGAGACATGTAATTAGG